GAATAAATCTAGGAGCTCACCATACATTACATGCTTTAAACGTCCAGGTGGGCGACCACCACGTCGAGTATCGGTAAGCAGACCTTTATATACTAATTTTCGACGGGAGCGACATACGCCCACTATCAACAGCGGATAGAGCGATACCGACTCGGAGTTCTCGTCAAGACCAACACTCTATTTGCTTCCTGCAAACCCAATCATGTTTTCTCCTCGAGATGCTCAGTTAAAGCACACCTCGATCGGAAGACGACCAGACATGTCTCTCAAGCCGGCGCGAAATCTCGAGTACACGTTCGTCACGCGGAAGTTTCACGGCTCTGGTGGCATCTCTTAGACTCTAGGATAGTTTCCTCTCCCTCCAACTCAATCCCAAACAAGGACTGGAATTTGAGCGTTGTAATCAGCAGACCTCACGGAGGCGGAGGACGGGAGCGGGAGGAGGAGGCGGCGGCGGAGGCGGCGGCGGCAGCTCGGGCGGGTCAGACGCACACAGGACACGCGCCGGTCGAGGCCCGCTGCTGCCCGGCACCCACGCCAGCTGCTGGGAGAACAAATCCAAAATGAACTACGCCCGTTGCTTCCACAAGATGATCTCTCACAACGGGAAGCTGTACGTGTTCGGCGGCGTGTGCGTGATCCTGCGGGCTTCGTTTGAGTCGCAGGGCTGCCCGTCCACCGAGGTGTACGACCCCGACACCGACGAGTGGACCATCCTCGCCTCCATGCCCATCGGGCGCAGCGGCCACGGGGTGGCGGTGTTGGACAGGCAGATCATGGTGCTGGGCGGCCTGTGTTACAACGGACACTACAGTGACTCCATCCTCACCTTCGACCCCGATGAAAACAAGTGGAAGGAGGACGAGTATCCCAGGATGCCTTGCAAACTGGACGGTCTGCAGGTGTGCAGTCTGCACTTCCCAGAGTATGTGCTAGAGCACGTCAGACGCTGCAGCTGAGGTCTGCTCCACAACAATCCTTTTTATAGAAATGGGAATGCACTGCTCGAGGACTGAGTCTCCCACTGGGAGATCAGGTGTTTACAGGTGGGAGACTCGACTGATGCAGGCTTTTAATCTAGAGACCAGCACTTGCCTAAAGGTTAAAGGTGAGGTAAAGATGGCCGGGCCATAGATTTTGCTGTTCTCAATGAAGCCAATCGAAGCGTGGCGAGACGTCACATGTTAACAGTCAGCTTGAACACTTTCAGAATTAGCTTTCTCAGAAAAATTAAGAAAAATTATTTGTGGGGAGACAAAAAAAAACCAAGTTCTGCTGGTTTATGTTTGGACTGTGGTCAGTTCCCTATTCTACTACTCACCTCCTGTATTTAGGCTGTCCAGTCAGGCTTAATGCAGAAACGCACTGGAAGCTTCAGATTCACACATTTACAGACGTATTTGTTGGATTTCACTCTCAAACAAACCTGCGTCACAAACGTATCTGAATCAGGTTTCTTCTGCTTTCGTAGCATCCGTTGACCTAAAGGCAAACAAACAGAGAAAAAAGGCCCTATAAGATATATAACAGCCAGTTTAAAGCATACAATTAGGTATATAAACCAAATATGAACACTATATACTGTAGTGTAGCTCATTTCATAGCCTGTCTTTAAGTGTACGAAGCAGACGGTCGAGAGAGATCCCTCAAACTGACACCACAGATCCAGCTCTCGCTTCCAGTGCGTTCCAGCTTTTTAGTCCCAATTCTGCTCTTTACTCCCAGATATCCACCATAACTGTGCTCATGTTCATATAACATCACCGTGTCTTTCTGTGCCCCCTCTCCTTCCTCTGTCTGAGTGTGTGTGTGTGTGTGTGTGTGTGTGTGAGAGAGAGAGAGCTGAATCCAAGGTTGAGAGGAAAACACTACATGGTACACGAGGGCTCATCCTCCATTCGGTGATGTGACCGGGACTCGAAGGTTAAAGGACGTCGTCTGTATCCGTCTAGTCACTGGCAGTGCTTTATTTACTCTCGTCTACATTCCCTTTGCACTTTATTGGTTCTTGTTGCAGCTCTCGGGGTGTAAATGCACAGTTTTACCAGCTCACCTTCACAAAGCAGCTGTAGTGTTACAACATGCTGTAATGTTACGGTGTCTGAAATTAATGTCCTGGCTCAACTGTTCCCGCTCTCACAGCTGGATTATACGTTTAAGACGCGTTGGGCCTCACGCAACAACATCTTCTTCTCAACCTAAAGTTGTTTTCTCCTGTCAGGTTTGCTCTTAGACGAGGCGCTCGATCGGGAGATTTCACGCCGTTCGAAGGCTGCCGGTTCTGATCCGTTCGTGGGAAGTTTTTCATCACGTCCTGGAATATCTGTACGTTTAGAGACCAGTTTTCCAATCATGGAAACAGCTGGAACTTGATTAAACTGACCAAATATGCTGGAAATAATGTGTTTTGTGCACCTATGCAAACGTAGGTGTGTGTTTTGTTTGAAACCCGACTGCTGGTGGGTTAAACTCTAAACGTATGACGCTTTTTAAAGCAGGTTTATCAGATGCAAAGTGGAAAGAAAGAAATGAATAATAAATAAAGCCATCAAAGGTCAAATTCACATTTGTTCTTGTGCTTGATAAACATGCACAGCGATCAGTCTTTATAGCTTTAATAGAAGAATTTGCTATAAAATAACTTCTACTTGAGTCGATTGTGAGCCTTACAGGTGAACTATAGCTCAGGTGAAACGAGTTGTGTGGAGACTCTAACGGATCTTTTTGTACGAGTGGTTCTTGCGTGAGGCCCGTTGTTTACTCTGTACTTTGCTCTTCACATTTCATCTTCCTCGCGTACAAACCAGGTTGTGTGTATTTGAATCCGACCGACGGAGCTCAACAAATTACCAGCCAGTGTTTTTGATGATTGTTTTTTTTTATTTTTTGCCAGTATGTGAACCAAAGCTGAACTTTACCGGCCTCTTGCAGTCAGCGGTGTTAATTTCAGACAGTGAAGTGTCACCTGGAGTGCTTCAGTCACATCCGTTCTTTTAGCCGGTTCAATATTTCTTCTGTCACATGTACTGTAATAGCTTTCTCATCTAAGCAGCTCAACGCCTCGATCCTGCAGCCGAGCACGCCCTGCTCGATTACCAGCTCCTCCTTTCTCACCAGGTCCTCTCTACATATTTATATCTCCTTTTTTTTATTTTTTATTTCCCATGAGCCAACTGTGAAAAGGGCTAGAACACATACTGATGCAGTTCCGTATGTCGGCCGCGTATTTAAGTTATTTATTTTCTGAAGTATTGCTTTCACCGAGCTATGCAGTAACAGACGTAGGGTTATTTATTAAGACAAGCATTTTCAGTGTGAATCGTGTTGTTTTTTTTTTTTTCAAAATTGTACTTTTGTCGTCTTCTCTGGTTTCATCCTCGACCCGTCTGCCCCGTCCTCCTCAGCGGCGCTGCATGTGGCTAATGAATGGATGCTTTGAGTCTTTCTTCCAGTGTACACTGACCAGACTGCAGGTACAATTTTAAAAGGAGGGTTACTGGTGTTATTTAAAAATTACGGCCCCCATTTTTACCGCAACTTTACATTTTCCTGTACGCAAAAAGTGTCATTCAGATTAATCATCATTTCTTAAATACAGATTGTAGGCAGCATGTTTTTTTTTTGAGGGAATCAGGCTTCAGTTTTCTTCCTGATATGAAAATAATCTGGTGTTCTCCTTTTAATTAATGGATCTTTGTATCAACGATGTCCCTGCTGTCCACACAGACCCCTCCAGTCTACAGCTTCATGATGCCACTGGGGTTTGTTTATTGGGGGGAAGTCTTTGTGGCACCGGTAGGAATCTTAGATTGTGTAAATTCCCCGTGTTGACGCCTCCTCAGTGGTGAGAAGTTGTGTGTTTCTCACTGTGGACTTGAAAAATGTTTTGAGGAAATACAGTAGATGCATTGGCGATTATTTTCCTAATCAATTCATTGTTTAGTCAATAAAATGTCGTCAAATAAAAGTGGAGAATGACTTTTTGTTTTGTTGGATCAATAATCCAGAACTCAAAGATCGATTATTTACGGTTTTATATGTGACACAGAAAAGCAGCAGATCCTCAGATTTGGGAAACTACAACCAGCAAATGTTTATTTTTACTTTAAAATGATCAAAATAGTTGCAGATTAACTTAATTTCAATAGATTAATTGATTAATTGACTAATCATTGCAGCTCTAATATACAGCCATTACTCTAAAGATGTTTCATTTTTTCCTTTCCGATTACAACTGATCGGCCAATCGAACACATATTACAACAAAATGTATGTATATTATATATTTATTTTATATTATTATTATTAGCACATACTGCTAAGCCTGTATAATTAATTAAACTCTTGGTAAGAGTCATTTAAAGCAGCATCAGACGTGTCTTTTTACAAACATTTTGCCAATAAAAACCTGGTAAACAGAAGCTAAATTAAAATAATGGTTCAAACTAAAACAATCTTAGCTTTCAAACTGTATTTCCTCACATTTTTCCTGCCATTAAACATGTTTATTATTCAGATCCGCACCTAAATTTACACCTAAAACTGCTTTTCTTCCCATATTCCAGTTTGTTTTTCTTGTCACTTCTAATGTTTGAACTCCAAAACCTTCAGAATAACCGCAGACGGCAGCAACGCTCACCCTGAGGCAGGTCTGCTTTAACTCCACGTCCCTTTATATGTCACTGTAGTCTGCAGCTGATATCATCTACATCACATCTGCCACTCTGCAGTCCTCTCGCTGCTCCTCCTCCTCCTCCTCTTCCTCCTCTCATGTTGCTGTTAAAAGAACAAAAGTGTAACCGTTAAAGTACTACTGTCCTGAGTTGAGGCACATTCAGTCATAGCAGCATCCTTTAGTCCACCACGTCTTCAGTCTGTCAGTAGGAAAACAGAATAGAGGATTTAAAAAAAACAAACAAAAAAAACATACCTTGCTACAACGACTGTATCCGAAAAAGAAAGTAAAATCAGATTAACATATCTTATAATCTGAGTAGAAACTCTTTGGAAACGATTTGTAACTTCTTTCCAGAAATAAATGTTCATATTGGTCAACTTTCAGCCGGCTGCCTGAGTGCTTTTATATCTGTGTGTGTGTGTTTCTGACTCTTTCTGAGACTGAATATTTATATCAGTATTATTGTTCCTCCACAGATCAATACATTCATACAGAAAGAACTCATCTATGTAGAAATATGTGTAAATATTGATTCATTTGCCAATTATTTCACTTCTTTTATTAGTCTGTAGTGTCGGGAAGGAGGGAAAAATACCCCAAGATATTTAGTTTCATCTGACAAACAGCCCAGAATTAAAAAATGTTGAACTCACAATGATATAAAACAGAGAGAAGTGTTGAATCCTCACATTTTAAGTATCTGGAGGCAGAAAATTGTTTGATAAATGGTTTAAACCGTCATTCTTTTATCTATCAATTACTGCAAATTAAGCTACTGAGCAGTTTGTAAGCTACTTTTACCAACCGCAGCATTAAAGTGAACACATTACTGTTTATTATTCTAAAAAAGGACATTTGGCAAAATGAGTTTTGGTACTTTATAAATAATATATATATAAATATAATATATATACATAATACTTAAATATGCTTTTATGAATGCAGTTTTTTTAACTTAATACTGTAACATTGCTCAGGACATTGATAGATCACATTTATATTATTATTTATATATTATAGTTAAACATTAATTTTACTGTTCATAAATACAGCACTACAACGCGCATGCGCCTCTCTGTCGCCTCTCCGCCGGCTTGCCGTAGAAAAGCGAAAGTCTTCCGGACGAAGATGTCATATGTGAAACTGGTAACTGTTCTGATTAATTTCAACCTTTTGTCGCCTCACACACGATGCTGTGCGTTAGCTGTGGCTGTCGTCTACTGAAACATCACGTTTATAGTCTTAGATGATTTAAACTTAACGACAAAAACGACGTTTAACGTGGCAGCTGACGTTAGCATGTGGCTAACTGCTAACAGTCAAACAGAATCTGGTTCCTGTTTATTAAATATTAAATATTAAATATAAATATGTAAACATATATTAACTGTTATTGAAGCGCTAATGAATCGTCTGTTCAGTGTCCTAGCCACCTGTTCTAACAGCTTGACGTTGTTACCCCTGTGCTCGTGTTCGTGTCTTCTGTGTGTGGTGTGTGTCTCTGTGGTGGGTCTGCTGTGTGCGCGTGTGTGTGTGTGTGTCTGTGTGTGTGTCTTGTGTGTGTTCTGTGTCTGTGTTTGGGTTGGTGTTGTTCTCTGTGTGTGGTGTGTGTCCTCTGTCGTCGTGTGTGTGTGTGTGATGTTGTCGTCTTGCTGGGTGTGGTGTGTGTCTCTTTGTGTGTGTGTGTGTGTGTGGTCTCTGTGTGTGTCTCTGTGTGTGTGTGTGTCTGTGTGTGTGTGTGTGTGTGTGTGTCTCTGTGTGTGTGTGTGTTCTCACCATCCAGTCAGAGTCGGTGGTCAGACAGCTGATCCATTTCCCGTACTGCGGTCGGGCACAGCTCTGAAACACAGCGCTCTGTTCAGTGGACCATCAGGAGACGTTACAGCCTCAGACACAAACATAAAGTGTTCTCACCTCGTACTTGTAGACCTCGATGCAGTGGACCGACTGACCCGTCCTGCTGTCTGAGGGACAGGAAGTCATCATC